AAAATATAATATTAATTTTAAAATAAATAACTTCAGCAAAAAGTATGTATAGCAGCCAATGTACTAGGGAGCTCGGCAGCCACCCGCACCCGCAATGCATATAAAACACTCGCATCTGATCGGTTTGTAGTATGTACAGTGTCGATTGGTATTTTTTCAATTTTTCCCTTAGTTTGAATTTTAAAACCAATGTATTTTTTGTTGGAACAAATCGAACACGAATCTTCAATTAAATCTATAGTACATGACTACGGATATTTGAAAGTATTTTTTATTCGAATTCGTCTTTCGAATTCAAATTATTCAGCATTTGTTTTTTATTCAATTCGTTTATAACTCTTAACGAAAAAAAACCTGACTAAGTTGTATATCATCTAGGTAGATTATTCGACGTGGAAAAGAGATTTGAATCGAACACCATTTGGATTATTCAAGAACACAACTCTCCACATCACATTAAAAGAAATCAAGATTTCTCACATCCCTCTTCAAAAACTGCTCAGCTAAGGGGAAAGGAGAAGCTAAAGCTCCAGATTTCTGTCCCTTTTATTGTCTTGTGATATGAATAAGTTGCCCTCTATTCACATTATACAGCAAACTTGGCATAATAATATATTAAGTCAGGTGATTTCTATTAGAGTCGGGCAAATTCGACCCTAAAATATACAGAATCATTCAGAACCTCGAGAAAAAGAAATAGTTAATGAGGAGTAGCAAAAGCCAAGTACATCATATTCAACAATCACTTAAAATTCATCTGCAGCAACATTTACAACTCATGCCATGACAAGAAATTGGCGAACACAAATACGGGGACTTGCTTAATATTATACAAGAAAGAATGGACACAATTTTTTATTTTTTTTCAATGGATTTATATCTCGTTTCTAAGTCTATAACGAATACAAACGCTAAAGTGGGAGAACTGAATATCACACACAGCAAAGGTTTACATATCTGGAGAAAATAACCAAAAAGCAAACAAAAGCAAACATTCTATATAAATAATGCAATTTGACCGAGGTTGTCAAACACTATGCAAAAGGATTTCCTCCAATAGGTGCAGCAAAAGGGCCTTGAGAGACAGTCCTGCAAAAGAAAAGAGGTGTTAAACGACTTAGCCATAACGGGCTTCGGGCCAAAAAAGTCTCATTTAAACAGGTCGCTATTTTTTAGGTCTAAACGGGCCGGCCCTTTGACATCTCTACTACTTAGTAAGGCTGGTGTTTTTATTTATTTATTTATTTTCTATTTTTTATTTTTTTAACTTTTTTGCGCTAATGGGTAAAGCTAGTGAAAAAATGTACGCCTTCAAGAGACTGAGTATAAGAATCTTATATATTGTAATTCCACCTCACCTTTCCAAGAATTACCAAAACTATTTTATTTATTAAAAACAACAACAACAATAACAACATACCCAGTATATTCCCAACTGGTTGGGGTCTGGGGGGTCAGTTGTACGCAGACCTTACCCTTGTAATTATACAAGGAGACTGTTTCCGTAGTGACCCAAGGTGCATTGCGGCATTTGATATATTTTTTTTCTACAAATTTCACTAATAGAAGAAGCACTAGAATTTAATTGAGTCATTTTTATCTAGTCCATTATTAGCACTATGTCAAGATAATTGTCAACGATTATTTATAAAAAAAAAATTAATTAATTTGGCCTCCATCAGGATATAACCACTGTTTTTCTGTTCTGTTATATTTTAATATTCATAATCATCACATAGATGTTAGTAGGTTTAGCCCTTCAAGTAGTGAGCCTGAATTCATATTATCCATAGGACCATAACAAAAGGTAATGCTAAAGAAGAAAAGTAAAAAAAGCTTACGACATTCTGGTGTTCGGCGCTTGCTCAACTATAAATTCAAAAGACCCTGTGCACAAAGAATAGATACAGTGTGATGTAAATAAATGAAGGAACATATTTATAATAACCAAGCAGAAACAAAATATACCACGAGGAGGATCAAATGTGGTTCCACTTGGAGCATAGGATGTAAGAGAATTCTGGGGAAACCAGGACCCATTTG